TTATTCCTGTAAAGGAAATGAGCCTGGTATGGTATATTTGTTCTAATGATAATGAATAAAGAAAAAAAACCATCAATGTAATTGTCAAACTGCTATATGCATTCCCAGAATATAAGCAATAGAAAAAGGCCTTGGGGCTGGATTGTGTTACCAGTTACCTTGCATCAACAAGATATATTTGCTTGGGGATAAGTTCTTTAGGTTACAATTCGATAACAGAGAGGTTTTCTATGGACAAAAAACTGGTAAAACTATACCATCCCAACAAATGGTAATGAGGTAACCAATCAACTGGTCAGGTGATCTGTCCCACTAATTGCCAAACAGAGATGGTTGGAGTCTCCTTATCCCTCTCCTGCCTGTAGTATTGGTTATTCTATCATCAACATTAGGAGCGAACGCCGACGGGGGCGCATAGCCACATCCACCTTTTGGGATCCCTCATGGCAAGCCGCCAGGCAGGGCCTTGAAAACCTGTAGCTTGGTGCTTCTGCACAGGTACCGGCATCTCCAAATACTCTTGTCGAGAGAGTTCTTGACCCCTGCTGCCAGGCCAATCCGTCTGCTAACTTCCTGGTCTGACAGCCCAGAGTTGTGAACTGCACTACCAAGGTATGTAAAGCTCTCTGTGACTTCAATGTCCTCGCCACAAGCACGTACCGACTGAACAGGTTCTCCTAGCAAGTCCCCAAAGTCCTGGATCTTGGTCTTGGTTCAGGAGACCTCTAGACCCAAGTGCTTCGCTTCATTACTAAATGCATTCAGAGCCACCACTAGGGTTTCCAAAGACTCAGATAGAATAGCAACATCATTGGCAAAGTCACGGTCTGTAACCTTAATATTGCCCAGTGTTGCTCGACAGGCCCCCACCACACTTTACAGCACTTTCAGTACCGGAATACAGGCTTGCTATTAGTTCAAGAATCCTTGTTGGAATTCCTCTCAGTCTCAGGATCTCCCAGAGTGATTCCCGATGCATCGTATCGAACGCCTTCTTGAGGTCGATGTAGGCTGCAAGCAGCCCACACCCGAACTCACGTGGGCGCTCTACAATGACTCAAAGCACATGGATATGGTCTATTGTGGACTTACCAGGAGTGAATCCGGATTGCTCCAGTCTCTGATGCCTCAGAAGGTGGCCTCTAACCTTCAGAAGGATGTGGGCAAGAAGCTTGGCCCGGTGATTGCTGCAGTCCCATCGGTCCCCCTTCCCCTTCCAGAGAGGGATGACCACACCCCTCAACAGGTCAGGGGGAATGGTACCAGACCACCAGATGGCAGCCAGGACAACATGCAACCCCTGCGCCATAGGTTCACCACCAGCCTTTAACAGTTCAGCTAGGATGCCGCAAATACCTGCTGCTTTACCATTCTTCAACTTGGAGATCGCCCCCCTAACTTCAGTTAGGGAGAGTGGGTCCTCGCTAATGGGTGGGTCCGGCAGCGGAATCATGGCAATACCCACATCCAAGTTAACTGTTGGAGGGTCATCCTGATACAACTGCTCAAAATACTCAGCCCAACGTTCCCGCACCGCAACAGGATCTGAGACGATCTGGCCACCTACTAGGTGAACTGCAGTCACCTGTGAAGAGGGCTTGGAATTCAGCTTTCTCAGGGCTTGGTATGCAGGACGAAAGTAATTTACTAAGAAATGGCCTTCAACCTCCTCAGCAAGACTCCTAATAAACTGATCCTTGTTCCTTCTTAACAGAGAGTTCTGCGCACCTGAGAACGGTGCAAATCCCGATCCCCTGCCAGACAAGCTGCACGGCAAGCATCTATGGCTTCCAGTGTCTCCTGAGATTAAATTCTGTCTTGCCCTTGGGCGTTTTCCAATCGTTTCTTGGGCTGCATCAAGCGTTTCACACTTGAAGGTGTCCCACAGAAATACAGGATCCGTCAGATTGTCGAGCACTGTGAAGCGATCAGAGATTGTTTCAGCAAACCCCCGAGCACACTCCCTTTCCTTCAGCTTGTCCAAATGAAACACCCTTGAGTGGTCATTGGGTCAATGGGGAGTTTGGAAGTGAACCTGGAGGGTAGCCACAACCAATCTATGGTCGGTACCACAGAACTCGGCACTCCTATACACCCTGCAGTTCTGATGAGTGCTCATGAGAATGTGGTCGATCTCCTTGGCTACATTACCCGCATCGCTGTACCATGTCCAACGATGTGGGTCTGGGCACTGGTACCAGGAGCCAGAAATCCTCAATTTCTGGGATCTAGCAAAATCCCGGAAAAGGAGAGAATTCTAGCTGCCAATATCACCTCCAGAACCATGAGGACCGACAGACATTTCATAGCCAGCTCGATCACAGCCAGATACCGGATTAAAGTCACCCAGAACAATATGAATATCTCGCCGAGGACAACTGTCTGTCACAGATACAAGTTTGGCGTAGAACATCTCTTTCACGTCGAGTTTACAAACATCAGTAGGAGCCTACACAGCAATAAGAGACATGAAGTCAAATGACAGCTTCAGGCTCGTTACCATTGTACGCTCATCGACTGCAGTGACCTCTACCACCGAAGGCTGGAGCCTACTGGAGATAACTATGGCTACTTCCTGAAGACGGTGACCATCGCTGCGGCCTGACCAGTAATAGGTGTAGCCACCCACACTGCTCATGCTGCTGCTAGGTCTTCTCACCTCCGAGAGAGCAGCCACACCAACCCTCAGCCTCCCCAGTTCCCTGGCTAGTAGGGGCAACCGATCATCCTGACGCAAAGAGCAGATATTCAAAGCCCCCACCCTTATTTCCCGCCTGAGGTTAACCCTCGGGCAGTCACTCTGAGTGGACGCCATGTGGGCTCTGCCATCCCCGCCAATGCTGCCCCACATAAAAGGCGGCTGGCTGCTGGACCCATCCTCCACCTGTGGGGTTCCCTAGGGCTTTGCCCCACAAGCTTCATATCTGGTTGGTGGTTGCCAGAACGCAGGCGGGACGAGGAGCTCCCATTCCCATCCTGTGCACCAGCAGCCGGCCTCTCTCGCTGGGTAGGAGGGACATTTCCCCTCCCCTTAGTATTACCAATTATTCGTGACATTGCCAATGGGTTATCTCTGGAAGGAGGAGGACTGGCAAGGCCTACCTCCCCAGAGCCTCCCATTAACCACAGGGGGCTTAGAGGCAGGAGTTAGTACAAGGCCAGGTCGTGTCCACACGTCGGTGGGCCATGACCCTGTACCTCTGGGGCCAGTTGGGCTGCTACAGGTACTCCCCCTTCATTGACTGAACTAAGTGAGCGAGCAATATGCCGATGTGGATAGATGGATTGCATCTACCACTTGATTAGTGTCTGTATCTCTAAAGGAAGAGTTTGTAAGTTCCCACAATCATGGCTGATTGTTGGAGATAAAGTAGAATTCAACGGTGGGACGGTGAGGCTTCCCGTCGGCGGAGGCCTAGGCAGGCCTCGTGTTGCTGCTGCTTTTAGTTGCTCTGGAGAATCGAGGGATGCTGATCTCCTTCCGGATTCTGCAGCACAAGTACTGGGAAGCTGTGTAAGCGAACAGGGAATGAAGGGAGCTTATGGTCCAATGAAGTGTCCATGTGAGCCAGTCAGGTCTCGGCAGTGATTCGTGAGATGCGCCTGCTGGTGAATGAGTGGCCTTTGGACCTATGTGACCCAACCTGGCAATTATGTGGAGCGGCAAGTTGCGGGGTTGTGCAGCTACAGTGTACTATGAGTACTATGAATAGCAGCTGGAAGCCCATTGGGAGTAGTTGGAGGGAAAGCATCCACACATATATGTGACAGAAAGGAATGAGTGGAGACAGTAAAAGATAGGAATATATGTAGATAACGAATCCGAATTCAAAATACCCTGCACCTAAAGGGCTTTTAGAGGCTACAGAGTATATAAATATACATATATGAGCATATATTTCTAACATTTATATTGTATATATCATAAGAGCTCCTTGAAATTAAATTGGAAGGTACTCAATGGGGAACACAAAGGCTGATCTTGGGAATTCTTTCAAAATAGAAAGATATGAAACAATCAATCAATTTAGTTAACACTGAGGGAAGAACATTACTGCATCCACCCTTCATTTCCAGTGAGAAGGGTCCTGCTTAGCAAACTTCTAAGCAGATCCACAGCAAATTCCTACCTCTTCACACCAGATTTGGCTGATCTGCCTAGGTCACAACTTGCTTTGGTCATCCAGATAGACAGCCTGGTGTGTGGGACCTTCGAGTCAAGGGCCAGTGCTAAGCTCATGGCGTAATCACTGACGGCATGGACCTACCAACATAATACAGGACTAGTGACACCCCAAGGGACAATAAAGTCTAGGATTACATACAACAAACCCAGCTGTAAAGCTTTGTGATTCTAAGCCTATGCCACAAGTTTTTACTGGAAGAACAGGTCCTTCCAACAGATTTCCCAAACCATGGATCTTAGTCTTGGTCCAAGTGAATTCAAGACCCATTAGCTTTGATATACTGATAGAGAAATTGAGAACCACCATCAAGTCTTCCCAAGGACCTCAGGTAAAATGGTAATTTCATTAACGAAGTCAAAGTTCATCTTGATACTGCCTAGTATTGCACAAAATTGACTAGGTGATATGTAGAAAAGTCTTGGTACAGTGGCACAACCCTACCTAACTCCAAGATGCCCTCACATTTTACATCACTTTCAGCATAAAGGCTTTTCATCAATCTAATAATCTTTGTTGGAATTCATCTAAACCTCAGGAACTCCCAGAGCGATTTGTATGTTGTGCTAGATGCTTTTTTGAGTTCGATTTTGGTTGCAAGCAGTCTACAGCCCAATTCATGACGACGCTATGATGACTCATAAGCGTAGGGATACTGTGTACTATAGATTTGATAGGAGTGAATCTAGATTGCTTCATTCTCTAATGGTTAATCTGATAAATCTCTAAACAACAAGAGTGAATGTTTTCTCTAGTATGCATAGCATTACAATGCCTCAATGATTGCTGCAGTTCCTTTTCCCTTTCAGATAGGGA